GTACATTTTTTTTTCTACCAACACTAACCTCTATACTTAAATGAGCAATTTAATGAACCAGACTTACATTTACATGACGTTTTAATCTAATAATGCAATATTATATAGATAAAAACTTAAAATCGACATTTCCTGGAACATTGTTTTATTAGACCCAGAAGATGGTCAGCTTATCCAACCAGGTTCCTGCTGCTATGCATAAAGCAAACGGACCCCAGTTAGCTTGTCTAAATAACTGGCCCACTTCCATACTTGCATCAGCTGACAAGTTGTGGGCGGCCACGTGGGTAGTAGGACCCACGAAAACGACCGTACACTTGTGACATCACCCGGAGAGGAGTGTGGGCGGTCAAACAAAGGCAGACCTGCGAATACAAACAAAAGCCCATATCACAATCCGGGGGCCCAATTTCAACGTATTGCCCGCCCATTTACATCTTATCCTGCCACCCATGAAACACAGTATACTGAAAGGGACCCATCATCGCCTAATCAACCACCATGGAATGCTTGCCACGTAGCATGCGTATCTGCATCCACGGCCTCCAATGTGGGCCCTGTCCATTTAAAATCCTATCTGGTGTTGTGCTGTCCCAATAGAAAGGTGCCACGTACATGGATTGCTCTAGCCGCTTCTGACACCTCCGGACAATGTGATTGTCCTCTTCAGAAGTGGGGATTATGAGATCGTCGGTACTCTGGTGGTCTGGTTTGATAAAAAATAATGAGATCCTCTCCTCATCTTCTTTAGTACATCGTATTTGTTTATCATATATTATACGATCAAGTTTTATTAGATACTATTTATATTTAATTTTAAATAAAAATATTTAAAATAATTTTTATTTCACGATATGAGGATTTTCAGGATTATCACGTAAAGGATTCAAAAAGTATCCTAATTCGAAAAAAAAAAAAATCTAAAAGTCGAAATATTGAAGTGGCCATTGGCAAATGGCTTGGATCCACGTGGCATAGTTTGCCAACTAATGAACTACTTGCTGGGGAGTTTTCTTGAGCCATTAGAACTTGTGGTGTGGTCACTGTTGGAGCTCTCACTTCTCACACGGAACCCATTGATGTGTGCTTGGATTATCTCTGCTAATTAATAAAGAGAGTTAATAGACTCATCCCATAATTCTATTTCTTCACCTATCTTATATTTTCATCCTTTATAAAGAAATGAAAAAATAAAAACACTATTTTCTCCCCCCTAATATTCCTAAAATGTCTTTGCATTGATTTAACTTTTCACTAAAAATTAAAATAAATAAAAACTGAGAATAAGAAAGCCACCCTCCCACACGAGCCTGACACCACAAAACCCAGCTCGATGACAACCTCTTTCACTGCCAGCCAACCTTTTCTCTCTATGGAAATTTGGAGGAGAAAACATTAACTAGCAACGACATCCTCGATGTTTCACAAACCGACAATGACGATTTCAATTGAATTGAGTTTGATTGAGATGGAGAAAGAAAAATGATTAGGGTTGTAGAAAAAAGAGGATGGTTGCGGTCATAAGTCAATTTGGTTTGGAAGTGACTCTGGCTTGTGGGTTTTGCGGTGCAGGGAAGGGGTTGCTGGGATATTCCCTTTTCTTCTATTTTCAATTTTGTTTGCTTCCAATTTTAACATTGATTGGATGCGTGGCTCGAGCTTGTAATATTCTTCTCAGATGGGATTGTTCATGGCTTCTCATATTCTTCTCCGATAGCATTGTTCATGGCTTCTCATATTCTTCTTTAGAAATATTACATTGTTCTTTCACTTTTATTTTTATGTTTTTTAGCTAAAAAAATAGATGAGGGTTCATTTTTATTAGGGTTTTAAAAGTCATTTCACAAATGCCCAAATATGACATTACATTTTTATTAAAAAGTGGGTGTGAATAGAGGGTTGAGAGGGTTGAGGGGTGGGTATAACACCACTCTTAATAAAACACTCATTGTTAACCAAAATCTTATAAAATTACCAGTTTAACCCTCTAATTAAAATAAAACATGAATAAGAAATATGAGACAGAAATGTAATTTCATACAACCAAATTTTACTTTTTTTTTAAAGCTGCACCTACATGTAATCCTAACATATCTCTAACTAAAAAAAAAAAAAAAACTTTCCACTCCCACATTCTCGATCACTCTCTTTCTCTCTCATTCTATTTCAAAAACAAAAATAAAAAATCTTCTCACATACATTGTGTGTGTCCATATGCTAGTAACTAATTAAGAGAAAAACTTGTGTAAGATAGTCAGTTATTTGTATTGTTAGATTGATCTTACAAATTAGAGCTTTCATGTGTTTCTGTCATCTGATCCAAACTTACAATCAGAGTTTATCTCGACCTTAGAGAGTGAACTGATTTGCCCCAAATGTACAAGTTAATAGTTTGCTTGAGTGAATAAACGCTTTCTTTTTCTCGTGTGTGATTGGGAATGTTTGTCGTGACAAAAACTCCTCCTAACCCTCGATCGAATTTTTTTTGTTTCCCAATCGAGTAGAGCATGTTTGGGCGATGAAGTTTCCACCTTCGTATCCTATTGCTTCCCTATCGAGTCGAACATATCATCCAATAACGTCCGTCTTAAGAATTGACAGAGTTTTTAAATCTCTTCACGTCAGAATTTAATTATAATAGAACTTCACAAACACGATTAAAAAGTTTTTTGATGATTAAATTAAGCCATTTAGAAAATAACCCCTATTGCTTGGAGTTTACACATTAGTCCAACTTGGACGGCAGCATCTTTTATCCCACTCCTTGTATCTTATATGCCCTTTCATCTTTTTCAAGTTGATTACGCAGCTAGCCGGGACTTAAGAGCAAATTTTACGAAAAATGCGGTTAAAGACTAAGCATAACGAAGAAAACAAATGATATAAAAACATGGTTGAAATCCATGCACTATAATTTCAGTAAAAAATTAAGAGGCTGGAATCATCTCCAAATCGTTTTCATTGAGATTTTCTAATCCTGAGCGTTCAACACACAATTAACGGTCAAGGTTCATTGTGTGTTGAACGCCAGCCCAAATCGAAGCTTTGCACCTATTGCACCAGCACTGACAATCCTTCTCTCTTCACCACAAACATAAACTTTAACCGTCGATAATGTGTTGAACTCTCAGGATTAGAGGATTCCGAAGAAAGGGATCCAAAGAGAATCCTATAACTCAATTGGGGTCAAATCAAAGTTACTGTTTCTTTCTCTTCCATCCAGCAAGTTAAAAATTTCACATCTAAGCAAAGGTTCTATTTTTTTTTCACGTGAAGTGTAACAAACCAGTAGAACTCATATCTCTCTATCCCATTAAATTTTTCCATTTTTATATTTCTCATGGACCATGCATGATGCAATCTTTATTCTATAAAATTAAATTAAATAAATCAGAGGACCATATCCGTAAATATTATATTCCCTCATTAGGGTTTGTTTTACAATTTCAAGGACTCGATTTCTTGTGCAAAATCCCACGCTTGCATCAGCAAGATTTTTCTGCAACGGACGCAATCTTGAGGACAAATATGTATATAATAAGCTTAAAATATTGGAAAATAAAATTGTTATTTGCACTTTAAAAAATTTCATTTCACATTCTTCATAAGTGTATTTTTCTTTTTAATCATATAAAGTTTAAAATGCAAAATGAGAGTTTTAGAGTAAGAATAACAATTTTCTTAAAAAATTGTATGTACAAAAGTTGAAATATTTATATATTTTTATATAATATTTTCATATTTTTAAATGAACAATATTGGTTATAAAATTAAAATTAACTCGTACGTTAAGGAATAATGAATTAACACCGAATTTGTTGCACGGTGGGATATTTAAATTTTAAATAACCTACAGAAGGTGTCAACATCCGCAATAAGCTATTGGGATCGGGGTTGTCCAAAAAGTCATTGCCATTGCCAGTCACACACAAGTAATTGTCACGGAAGAAGAACCATACCAGAAAATTTGACTTTTTAAAAGCCTTATTTCTCTAAATATCCACCATTTTTTTCATGTGTTCCTCTCTCTCACGCTGTTATTAAATTAAATACTTGTCTTGGCCGTCATTCCATCTTGAACCGAACGAGGGCAAGATGGTTCGTTTTAATTTTCTTTAAGAAATTAATATTTTAATGAATGATGCATGATCATATTTTTTTACCATCTTCAACCGAGAGCAGTTATAGGGCCAACATAGCCCTGTAACAAAAAAACATCTTCAACCGAGGGCCAAACATAATTTATTATTTAAATTTAAAAACTACAACTTCAATTTCAAAATTACAACTTAAATTTAAAAACTACAACTTATATTTAAAAACTACAAATTAAATTTAAAAACTACAACTTAAATTTATAGGAAAATATTTGTAAAAAAAAAAATTCAAATATAACTGCTAGCTGGCGTCAACTAGCCGTTGCATTCAAATTTATGGCCTGACCTGGGGCTGGCTGGCTGGGTTGGGCCAGTCGGTTGGCCTTTTGGCCCATGTTTGTCCAGTGGGGCCCATGAGCCATTTGGCTTAACCCTCGGTTGAAGATGATTTTCGGACTATTTTCGACCATCTGGTCATCCTTCGATTAGAAATGAACTTGCTTCACAAACATTTAGCATTCAACACATTAATTTACTTTAAAAAAAAAACCCAAAAATATTAAACATTATTGATAATAATTTAATCTTCTTTGGAGTGCGTGTGCTTTGTTACGCATCAAGTGATGCGAGTTTTTAGCATGCCGAAAAAACGATCTAGTGCAACAAATGTAATTATATAATTAGTTAGAAATTTAAAATTCGATAATAATTCATATTTTAATGTAATCTTTCCCAGAAATTTAAAACAATCTGCTTTAGGTAATTCTCTGTGAACATCTGCCAAGATTGGTTTTTTTTTTTTTGTGTCGATATTGTTTTCCGATCGGAGGCATGAATATTCAAACCTGAGATCTTTGGCAGTATGGTCAATGAAAAATTGTCGATTCATAAACCGGAAACATGCACATAATTAGTGGCTAATTATTTGATTCATTTCTCCTTTTAACCATAATCACAACTCAGAACTAATTAGATAGCACAATGGAGCAGCACTGCAGCAGTCTACGCTCTGAAACATGACCATCTCTCCCTCAATAAGGCCAGAAACAAAAGGGCTGCTGATCTTCCAAGGGGATGTACCCGAAATTACTAGAATTTGGAGGGGGTAAATTATCATAGCAGCAATCTTCAAGCTTTAACAAGTATGGCTGTGGTGGGGGTAAAAGCGTCTTTCCGAGGTCATCATCTTCCTCCTGCGAGAAATCGGACTGATCAGCTGGTTCAAACACATGAGAGGAATCCGCCGGCTCTAACAACGGTGAATGGTTTTCGGTGCAATGCGGGCTATCCGAATCAAAAATATCGCTTTTCGCCGAACTTGCATCCTCTTGCTTGCACACCACCATTGCCCCTTTGGTCACAGTTTCAGAATCTTCATTCGGAATTGCAATCCGGGTCACCAAATCCGATGAATCGATTGCGTTGTGTGAATCCGAATTTCCGCCGTCAGGCTTTCCTTTCTCTCTCGAAAGCAAAATGTCCTTGAGGGAATCAACCTGCTTACACATAAGAAAACTAAACCATTACCGTTTACTCAAAGTATGACACACATAGCTGAATTTAACGGCTGAATGTGCGATCAAGGATCGAGTTCATCATGCGAATGTGAGCGACTAAAAGGCAATGCCTGTCGAATTTAGGAATTTATTATACCTCGTTCCTCAAACTTCCATTCTCCTTGAGGAGATTATCAACATCAACCTTGAGCTTATCATAGCTGGCTTTCAATGAATCATAATCCTTTTCCAACTGCTTGTTTTTATACCGCGCCCGGCGGTTTTGAAACCAAATTGCTACCTGGCGAGGCTGCAAGCCAAGTTCGTTAGCAAGTTGCACCTTCCTCTCAGGTTCGAGCTTGTTTTCTGACTCAAATTTCTTCTCCAGAAACTGAACTTGATTCGCCGTGAGCCGCCTTTTCTTTCCGGGTTGATGAAGGTAGCTACCGTAATAATCGTCATCCTCGTTTTCTTGTTTGGGTTGGAAGAATGGCCTATCCAAGCAGTCCCCTTCACTTACATTTTCAAAATTAACCATTGAATTTGAACCTGCACAAAAAATGGAGCAACCAAATTATAAAAGTCCTCTAATGTTGTTTACGGGCTGAAATTAGCAACTAGAGATATTCAACATATGTCAGCAAAAAGCTTCGATCTTTCAATCTTCACTTGCAAAAAGCTTCGAACTTTCCATCTAAACATGTAAAAAGCTTCAAGCGTTTCATCTGAACATGCAAAAAGCTTCAAGCTTTCGATCTAAAGATTCAAAAAGCTTCAAACTTTCAATCTTAACACGTTAATTCAGCAAGAACTGGCAACAATTAGAAGAAAAAATGCAGAAACAATCGATCTTTTACCAATTCTTACATTAATTCAAATGGGAAGTGTGAAAGTTTCAAGCTTTAACATTAATCCATCAAGTCAACCAATAAAAACCCATTAGTCTAAATTTTCAGAAAAGAAAAAAATAATCAGAAAGGCAACAATCCCAACAAATAAAATAGCAAAAGTAAAAATGCAAAGCAGATAAAAAAATTACCATGAAAAGAAGAGGAAGGAGTGGGAATCCAGAGAGACTCGAGAACGTCAGAAGAGCGAGGTCGCTTTTCGTTTCGGAAAATTACTTTCATGTCCGCAGAAGAACCGTGGAGTTTCCCACTCGTCATATATGTTAGCGTAATCAGTTTACAAAATTTAATAGGATTTCAGGCGCTTAAAAGTGGTGGGTTTAATGTCAGAATCACTGTAATGTGGAAAGTATGAGAGAAAGAGGAGATCACGCCCATCACTCACGAGAAGCTGTGAAAGTTACTAAGAGCTTGGATGAGAGAGAAAAATATGGTGAAATCATGGGGTTTTTTTTTTTTTCTGCGGAGGAAGAAAGTGTTCTGCAACTGCAAGGTTTTGATTTTTCTATGGCTGGGAACTTGTGAAGACCAGAAGTTTTACAACTTTGAGAGAGAGAGAGAGAGAGAGGGCAGAGAGAGAGACAGAGAGACAGAGGAGAGGCGAGGAGAGGAGAGGAGGAGAGATTCTTCTATTCGGGTAAGAGCTTGGTGGTGGGGTTATAAGGAGCTCTGCTGAAAACAGACAGCCAGACAGGAGGCTTTCTTTTCTGCGGGGAGACTGGGAGAGTGGACAGGTAGGTGGAATTACCGAATTGCCCTCACTTCTGGTTTCTCTTATCCAATTCCTTGCTTGCAATTCTAGACAATAGAGTAAAATAATAGTGTTTTTTTTACTTTGTATTTTTATGAAACTAGCAACTACATGTTTGAATACCGAGGCTTCTAACAATGAACTTGTTCTAGGCTTAAGGATTAATTGGATAATTTTGAGAAGAAAAGCGTTATTGGCACTTAAAAAATTTCATTCTACATTTCTCATAAGTGTATTTTTCTTTCTAAATTAAAAAATTTGGAGTGTAGAATAAGAAATTTATAGTGCCAATAATAATTTTCTTTTGAGAATTTAAATAAAAAAATAGTGGTTAAACTTGTGACGATTTGATTTACCATTTGCTTTTTTTTTTTTATATATAAAAGAGGAAAAAGTGTTGACAAATCACGGTTATATTTTTCTTTCCAGTCCGAAAAATACCAGTTGAGAATTGCACCCAATTTGTAGTCATGATTAATCAAATTCACAACTTGCAAAATATTAAGTAGATCCACAGATTTACCACTTGTTTAGTTAAGGTAAAAAGTTTTGGGTTCAAAGATATTTGAACTGTTTGTTTGAAGAAAAATGGCCAAATTAAGCTACTTGTGTTCTGCTACTCAATGCACAAGTGGTCATTTTACGTTTAAGTGATGTGATCCTTTTAGCTCGAAAAATATTACTCAACAAAAGGTCAACGTCTCCTTCTCAATTTCAAAGCTTCGCTAAGGTACGAACTTAAGTGATAATGGACATATTCTTTTATAACTATAAAATAAAGTCATGCTATTTATATTTATATTTTTATTTATATATATATTTTTTAATTTTTGACCGTTAAGTAAAAAAAATTAAGGACTAAAAGTTAATCATCTGTGAAACCTTCCACCTTCCAAAGGAGGGTATTTTGGTAAATGGATATGAGTACAGTATATAAGATTACAAGAAGGGAAGGGTCAATGAGCCCTATGCTATGGCCCTACGGCTCTTTAGTTTTAATTTTGTAGGGTACTGATGACTGACCTACCACGCTCTCAGTTTTCCTTCCGACTCCGTGGCTCCATCGGCGCAACCTCCCCATCCGCCGCGTGTCCTCAATATCGGCTCTTGCTTTAATTTTAAGGAAGTGGTATTGGTATTTTAAAATTTTCATTTTACACTTTTTTTAAGTATATTTTTATTTTCTAATATAGAAAATTTGAAATGTATAATAAAATTTTAAAATGCTACTAATAATTCCCTAATTTTATCTTATTTTATATTCTTTTTACATGCTCACGGGTCACAACTTCAACTGTTTTACTTTGAAAATTTATGGTACAAAAGAATTTTATTGATATAGACAAAACAAAAAAATAATTTTCTAGTTTCGGTCGACTTAAAAGATTTTAAGCCTAAAAGCATTTTTATTTGTTCAATAAAAAACACCTATAAACAGTGATAATATCACAAAAAACTTGTGATATTTTTAAAAACAGTTTCGAACAAGCCAAAGTATTTTCTTTTTTTCTTTTTATTGGTATAAAAATTGAAGTTATATATACGGGCTACGAGTTTAACAAATCTCTAACTATATTAATAGTTTATTGGTGCTTACGACTTGAGAGTTCAGAAGGTTGCAGCAAGTGGGGGTGGGTATAATATTCAACAGAGATGTTCAGATGTTCTTCTTGATAAGCTTGCTGCTGCGATCGGGCAGTTGAGTGTCATGTCCAAAGTCAAGGCTGCCAGTGGATGCATGGACTTGCGAACGCCGTACGTTTTGAATTTTGGTTCCACTACTCAGACTCAACTCTCACAATGTCAAAGACTTTGCTTGGATTTCCGCCCATCTGATATATTTTATGCTACGATCGAGCCAGGTTTTCAACAGTTATTTTGTTGTTGTTGATATTTTAACGGCTAAAAACTTCGGATTATAAAATAATTTGGAGTAGCCTAGGATTTCGTTGCTTAAGTTCAACTTCTCATCGACTTAGTTGACATATTGAGTCTGGCATGCATATCATGCATTTGTGCATTATACATATAGCCGGCTTCCCTAATCAGATCATTGGAGGACCTTATCGTGTTATCCCATCAAGGATGGTTATGATCTCTATTTGCACTCAACTAGATTATTTAGGCAGTCAGATGCGTGATGATTTCGTCTACGATATTTAAATCTTGTCCTCCAATTATTGTAAAACGACTACTAGAAAAACTACAATGGTGAAATGTTCTAATGGAAAACACAAATTACATATCTGGATTTCTTTTTGCAGCAACTTTCCATAATTCCGAACGATCATCGTTTACATGTCCATATTCTTGATTTTGATTTTACCATATATGCATAACTGATTTGAGGACAAATTAAGTTGTGACCAAGGACCTGCAAATCAAGCCTGGTGATTAATCAACTGGATTTGGTTAGAATAATGTTCTTAATTTGTACTGCTTTCTTTTTTGTTTGGAAATTGATTTCTACACACCGTATTTAGCCTCTTACATACTCATGCTTAATCATGATCGTTGGTTCTGTTTGATTTATGAAAATCACTTCCCTTCTGTTTCCTTTGAGGCATCGTGAATTGCTTGTGACCATCTACTCTTGTGCACCCAGTTTCCGGTTTTCTTAGGGGACCATCAGTTCGAAATTTAAATCTCATAGATCACAAATAACTGAAAGCAGAAAAAAGCATTGGCCATGAAGATAGAACATAAGAAGTAAATCCAATCTGTTTTTGAGGACTGAGAGCAGAATGCATCCAACATCAAGCACATTGCTCTATATATATAGCCACTTTAACTTGTGAGGCTTCGGGTCGTACATTGTTCTGTTTGTGTTATCTGAAGGAAGCACTGGTGCCCTGGTTACGAGTACATGCATGAGCCATGAGGAATATAGAAACTGTACTACTGCCCTAGCTACCTGTCTTTTATTGGTTGCTAGCTAGCAACGAGTACATGCAATTCTGCTAGCTAACCCTAGCTCGCCTTCATTCTTTCCAAGCTAGAGATGCAAAGCTTTCCGAACAGACAAAATTTATGGAGCACCCAGATGTCATCCTCAACAAAAGGTCTCATCATGTAAGATGTAACACTTCATGTTTTAGGTGCTGCATTGCATATAAAAGGTAGTCTCTTCTTTCCCTGCCAACTGGTTCCAAGCATGGTTAATAGGATCATAGGAGGAAAATTTACCAAGCAAAGAGAAAAACTATAGTACGTGCTATTGGACAACGTGACTCATCCACCCGCGAGTCCTCACACACAAAAGCCATAATCTTTATATGTTGTCAAAGTGGCAGTCTCACTGAATACTGTCACATATTATAAATTGTGCCTAACTGACCTTCTCCGGTGACTTAATAAGTGAGGAGTGAGATTGACACAATCGTACTATACGTTTTACTATTTAAGTGTTTCCAGGTTAGTAGATGCAACTAACTTTTTCTATATTTATGAAAATGTACTAAACTGACAAGAAACAAAACATGAAAACTAATTAAAACTAATTATGGACAACATATCAATCAAATATCGACGAATTAGTGATAAACGAGATTGAAATTTCCAATGTTATTTGCCTAATGACGTTGCATGAGAACAAAAGGGTGTTTTGATTTTAAGTATTTTTGGTAGATGTTTGAAACACAAATGCATCATATAGCCACTCGAAACAAAAGCACATCGCTATGATTATTTGCCAATCGTGAGCTCCCTAAGATTCATTGCAAAAAACCCAACAATCTCCCTCGTAGACTCATACAGCACCTTCAGAGAGCTCAAGCAAATCCACTCCCAAACGCTCGTTAACGGTGTTCTCAACGACCCTCACTTTGTCGCCGCCATTGCGCTCAGAAACCCCACCAATTTGTATTATTCCAATCAAGTCCTCGACCAATGCCAGAACCGAACACTCTTCGCCTTCAACTCCATGATCAGAGCCTATTCCAAAGGCTCCACGCCATCCAAAAGTTTTGACTTTTACAGCAGAATTCTCCGATCAAGTGACAATCTTTCACCCTATAACTACACCTTCAACTTCTTGGTCCGCACGTGAGATCAGTCCCTCCGGCCATAGCGGCTTGATAAAAACTGGTTTGAGAACGACCCACGTGTTCAAAGCGGGTTAAGTTTCATGTATTCTGAATTGGGTTTGTTAGGTTCGTGCCAGAGTGTTTGAGAAAACTTTTGGGCCTGATTTGGTATGGCAGACTGGTATGGTGAGTGTTTGCGTAAGATGCGGTGATGTTGGTTTTGCACGGGAGCTGTTTGCTGAAATGCCTCAGAGGGACCCCGTTGCTTGGAATGCGATGATTGCAGGTTATGCGCAATGTGGGAAGTCTAGAGAAGCCTTGAATTTGTTCCATTTGTTGCAAATGGAGGGTGTGAGGGTGAATGAGGTGTATATGGTTTCGGTCTTATCAGCGTGTTCCCACATGGGGGCATTCGATCAAGGTAGATGTGCTCATGCATATATAGAGAGAGGAACAAGGTGCGGATGACAGTGGCGTTGGGGACTGCACTCATCGACATGTATGTGAAATGCGGGAACATGAAAAAGGCCACGGAGGTGTTTTGGGATGAAAGAAAAGAATGTGTGTACGTGGAGTAGTGCATTGGGAGGACTAGCCATGAATGGACTTGGTGAGAAGCGTCTTAAGCTTTTCTCCCTTATGAACAAAGAAGGGGTCCATCCAAATGAAGTTACGTTCGTTTTGGTTCTAAAGGGCTGCACTGTGGTTGGACTAGTTGAGAAAGGCCGTCATTTCGATTCAATGAGGAAATCATGTGGGATTGAACCTCAACTAGAGCACTGCGGATGCGTGTTAGATTTATATGGCCATGCTGGGCGTGTAGATGAAGCCTTGAACTTC